GCAAAAACTAAAAGGTATTTTATTAGTGATTGTTTTATATTTCTGACTTTATATTGATTAAAGTTTCATTAATGATTGTTATGAATATCCATCAATCAGTAGTTGTTATAGCAACATTAAACAATAATATGCAAATGACAACAATGAATCGTCTTTTTTGAGGATGAGCTTCCAAATTTTTTGATGTTAATTCTGGAAGATACTTATTAGTGATTAACATAATTTCATAATCTTTAGGCAATCTAAAAGCAATAATTTGAGATTTTCATCATCAATGAAAAAGAAATAATTATTATCTATGAAAATGTATGTTAAAAAATATAATATAACAATAATTAAAACCTAATGTTTTTATGTTTTGACATCCAATCTTCAACAAAAAGGCTAGCTCCCAAGAATTTGACATGTGAATATTTTTTAAAAATTGGATGTTCGTTATTAATTTTTTCCAAATTTGATAAAATCTTATTTGCATAAGGCTTGATTTCTTGTTCTGTAAAGGTAGAGTAATGAACCAAAGTTGAAAGCTAAATAATAATAATAGTAATAATAATATTGTTATTAATATTTGTTATCCATTATGATTTTTTTAAAAATATAATATTCTAAAAAAATAAAAATGATATTTCTTACCCATTCACCATATTTAAGAAATATACAGCAAGATATAATGAAGCTGCAGCAATAATTGAAGGTCTGCATGATATAAAAGTATCAAGTATTTAGCAACAGTGTGAGATTTAAAGTTAGAATTATCAGCTTTCAAATCTCTTCTAAGAAAATTCATGGGATCTAACACTTGTAAAATAAGTCTTTCTACTTCATTTTCTTCAATTTCTGACATTGATTCTTTTTTGTTGTTTTGGTTTTTTGATAATATCCTTGTATTAAAATTACTATTGGTTTTTTAAAAAGAATAAAATTAATCAGTGAAACTAGAATGTTCGTTACAATCACCACAACCATTCTTTAATAATTAGGAATGCATGCAACAAAATCAAACAATTAATTAAAGCCACGAGTTATGGTTTAATCACCACCATCACCATTCTTATATAGAAACTAGAGTGACATAAAGTGGCGGGCAGTAACCACCACCATCCTTAAAACACTTACCCAGCTAATGCACCAGTATGATTTTCATGTCTTCTTTTTCTGATTGAAAAAGACATTTTTAAAGAAAAAGAAGTTTGTGATTTGATCGACATGTACATATTAATTCGTGTTCCATCAGTGAAGGAAAGGATCTACATAGTAAAATTCCGGGATAAGTATCATGGTAAAATCAATTAGTGTCCATAATCTGGAACCGCTGTGGAAATAACACAATATTTTATATCTAATTTTCTACTTTAAATTGTACTAAATAAATCACTGAGTTTCTGGTTATCTTTCTATTTTAAATTTATAGAAATAGCTTTAAAATTACATAATATATATGAGGGCCAGATCGGTTTATTTTTAGCTTTGAAAGAAATTTTGATTTTAATACAACTCCTATATGTAATTTTTTATGTAGAACATTTATGGCTTAGAAACCATATCCACTTTGCATAATAAAATTTTGAGTTATTTCCTTTTAACGTTTCAAACAAAAAAAATGCAAAAAAGATCTACATAATAAAATTCATGATAAAATTCATATTAATATTTTTCATTTCTAAAATTTAAAAATGAGCAAACGACAAATTGTTAATGTAAAACTTATAGCTACTGGTTCAATTTTGCCTAATTTACACTATAGCATCAATGCAATTCACTGGTGTACCGTGAGAGGTGATGTTGATTTAACTAATGGTGTATTTCTTTACCCAATATGTGTTTGGTTGGCAAACTGTTATATTATACACAAGTATTGGAAGGTAACAAAGACCATAAATTATTCCCTGGTTTTAGAAGTTATGTTGAAAAATGAGTTTAGTGATATTGAAAGTTCCTCCAGCAAAGCAATTACTTCATTGTACCAAAAATTAAATCCTCTTTCAAATACCAAGTATTCTGGTCCAATAGTATTAGGTTGGGAGGATGAGAGCAATTTAGAAGCATCATTGGAAGATGTGCAATTTCGTCCATTTGTTATCAAAGTAGACAAATTTAAAATTCATATTATATCATTGGGAATTTCTAAAAATGCTGATATAGATGGAGCAGGAATAGGATACATGTCATCTTTTATTGGCAAATATAAAAAGCAAAGATCAATGTTTGTTCAAAAAATTGATCAAGATGGATGTCATATAGATATTTATGAAAAAAATATTAAAATTGAAAGTTTTGTTGGTTTGACACCAGTTGAAGTTTGGGAAAAAACTGGAATTATGAAACAAATACCCTTTTTGGATTAGAGCATAAGATGACATGTCAAAGCTTGGCTAATCCACAAATTCCAAAATGCAATCCAACTTTTTGGAGCAATGAAGATAACATGTGTCAAATTTTTAATTATCATTTAAAAAAAAAGAACAATTGCAAATATTAATTGGTTCTATTTTTTTGAAACCTGGAAGAATCAAAATACTATTATTGAGCTGAATGTAGCTTTAAAAAACCTTTATCCTACAGGACATGTGTTTAATCAATGTGAAATAGAGGCATGGCAACCAATGTTGAAAGCCACTGGGTGTACAAAGATATCACCTTTTGAAAAAAATCAATCAATGGTAACTAAATTAATGATTTATGACCTAATTAATCTCAAACTTTAAATAAATTTTTTTTAATTATTAGTGTGAATTCTGGACACAAGCATTTGATCCATCTAATGATAAAATTACATTGAAGTGCTATATGAAAACCAATTTCTCAACTCAAATCCTTCTGATGTCTCTAGTTCAAGCAATGAATTTTGGTATTGCTTATAAAATTAATTTTTAACATAATGTGTATCACATGATTTAATCAAAAATCTGATTTTTTACGGATATCTCAGTATAGCAGATGACTCGGTATAATGGATAAATTTCCTGGAACAAAATATCCATTATACTGAGACTCACTGTGTATTTCTTTAATAGTAATAAAAAACAAGATTAACTCATGATGGTTAACTTTTTGCAAGTCCATGGAAAGATTTCAGCAGAACGTATTCCATCACCACTCAGATACATATTCCAGTGGGTAGCTTTAATCCCAGTTGAGACAGGGTGGAACATATTTCCTCATGATTCCTGCCACAACCATTATATACCTTGCAAAAAACCTAAAATCTAATTTTAACCCTACATAACCAAAATTCCCCAACAGTAAAAATGAACACACCTTAAATTGCTTTAACATCCTTTCAGCTTCCTTCCTTTCTTCTTCTGATCCTTCCTTCATAAACCACTCTAGCTGTCTCATGATTGCTATTGCAATCTTTGCCTTGTTAATAGGTTGTTTAGATATGCACCATTCTTTATGAACCCTAATGCATCCCAACTTTCACATGGTGTGGACAGGAAGTAAGAAAATCCAGGCTTATCAGTTATTTCAATTTTTCTTGGCATAGTAGTATCAGTTAGTATCAGTGTAGTGAGGAAAACAAAAATTAAAAAAGTTTTTTTTCTTCATTTCAACCATTTTTGGGTATGTTTTTATTATCCCCTTTGCTGATCATCATCATTATTATGACATTATTTTTGATGTCACAAGTGAATTTACAAGATGTTATTTGTCATATACAAGTCACATTTTTTTTTAAAAAAAAAAATTAATTCGTTATTGAAATAAATAGTACTAAACTTGCTTTTTCATAATCTGTCAATAATCTGTAATAATCTGTTGATTTGTTCAAAGTATGCTTCTACTAAAAATCAGGAAAATTCACATGCTGGGTGTTTAATTGATTTATTTATTCATTTTTTAATTATTATTTTTTTTTAAACTTTAGTGGATATAATAAAAAGACCATCTGCTAGTACTTTAACATGCTTGTTCAATACACTTACTCAGAAATATGCGAAACTAAAAGCAATCAATATTGGAGACAAGCATAAAGGAACATTTAAATCATTTATTGAATATTATCTTTGTTAATTGATATGAAAAACATTATTACCAATTGTTTCTAAATTTTTTATTAGATCTTTTAAATTCAGATATGAACAACAATTCAAAAAAAAAAGATCCCATGAAGTTAATATTTTGTATAATAATTAGAAAACCATATCAGAAATTAGGTAAATCCTTTTATTATCACATATATAAAAACAATTTAACAAAAATAAATATCTTATTGAGCACTCAGATTCACAATTCAACAAAATGTATAGAAGTTATACTAGAAATTACACTTGTTGAACATGAATCAATTTACTACTTGATTTATTAATTGGAAATAGTGTTACCAGGGTAACAATTCAAGGGTGAATTTGCGAAACATTTATTAATTAACCATTTAATTTATTATTTAATTAATTAATTTATTATTATTTCTTGTATTTATTTGATCTCGGAATAGTTATAATTCTGATCTGATTATCTAAATCAAGAAAAGTTTTTAAAAGGTCTGTTGAAGTTGATGCAATATATAGATCACACATCATATTTACTAGCATGATCCAAAAAAGTAATAAATATTGATAAAGCAGAGGAGGTTATAACCTTTACCCAAAGGACATCTATTTATGGTCAAAAGAATTATTTAGATCATGATTTTAATACAAACGTATCATACTGTAACAAGTTTTATTGAGATTAAAATACAACATATACAAGAGCCATGGTTTTATAAAATTCTTTACACATGTTTAATATTCATCAAATATAACAATAATGAAATTAAATTCAAAATCATACTTTCGAACAAATATTCAATAAATAAGGGTGAGCATATATAAAAATAAATATAATAAATAAAACTGTTTTTTTCATTTTTTCTTTATTAAAACTCAACATAAAGTGCTAAACAAAATTTTGATCCTCATGCCACAGCATGCATTGTGCGATCGTGTAATACCTAAAAACTCCCAATTCAGCAATCTAAAATTAGATTTGAATTTTTACTTTTTTGTGGGAGGGAAAAATTTGAGGAAAAACTTTTTTTTTTCTCACCAACTTTTTAAAGTCAACATCAAGAAAGGTTTTAATATTATCACCAATTAAATATAAATCAATTAATTATTAATTAATAGTTAAATTAATTAATTAATCAATTAAAATTATAAAGACATACAGTTGTTAGAATAATAATAACAAAAGTATCTTTTTTAAAAAAAATAATGTTTACTTGTTAGTTTTTTTGCTAAATATTGCTTGTTAAAACGATTTGTTTTTCATTCTAATTTTAATGGTGTCACAAAATAAAAGTTTTACGACCGCCTTCTAAGATATTAATATATATCAATATCTATTTACCGCCACCCCCACAACTAATTAATTAACCAATTTACCAAAAAATTATTTTATAGACAAACGCAACCACATTACATGTATATTCTAATTTGTAAAATGGACCATCAATGTGATTGTGAAAATCATTTATTTGGAAATACAAAAACTGAAGTGAACAGTGCACCAACCACCAATTAGTATTTTTTTTGAACTTATCAAATGGGGGAATGTGCGCCAAATATGAATATAAATATATTTTCCATTGATTTTTCTCTTACAAACAAACAAAAAATCCAATTAGCCTTTTTGATATTTGATATCCATTATAAAAAGAATGGAAGGAATTTAATTTTTATATATATTATAAAAAAAAATTATTTAATTTAAAAAAACCTACCTTGATATTTTTTGCTGGTCAAGAATAAAATTTATTTTTTATTTACATCGTTTTAATATAATAAAATACATTACAAACATGCAATCCATTAACAACATTTTTTCACATTCATCACTTTCTAATTCCCCAAATGAATTATTATTATTAATATTTTCAAACCTTGATATCGAAACATTAATAAATTTATGCAATGTTTGTCAAAAGTTTAAAATCTTGGCCGAGATTGCTTTAGAGAAAAAATTTGAAGAGCGCAAGATTGGTTTAACTCTTCATTTTGAACAAGAACAACGATGGAGATTTAGCGTAAATTTTATTTTTGACTGTATAAATCAACAAAATGGAGATTTCGTTTTCAAGCCTACAACAAACGGCCAAGACAATAATGAGAACGAATTGCAGAATAATAAATTTTTTCATTCAACAATCTTACGCAAACCTACATTATGGAAAGTTACTTATAACGACAATGTCAACAACGACAACGATAAAGAAGACGAGAAGTCACAAGCTTATGTTAATTTATTACAAAAATCATGTCAATTGTCGATAAAATCAAGAAATCAAACTTTCCAAAAAATTCAAAATGTTTATAGAATCGGTAACGGTTCAAATCATCTTAAAGTTCCATACAAATTCACCTATTCAACCAAAGACAACGACAGTAACGAAGTCAACAGATTAAGATCACGCGGTGGTGATCGTATAATGAATCCTTTATCATTCGAATGTTCACCTAGTTTCTTTTATCCACAAGAATCAACAGCTCACAGGTTGCTGATGTCAATAACAAAGCATAAACCAATTTTAAGACAATCATTGAAATTGTCATCAACTAAAAAATCTATCATAGCCACAAGCACCACAAACTCCACCATACCTCCACCATCACCTAGAAACTTCACATATTCTCCACCCTTTCAATCAGAAACAAACCCTTCAAGATTAGAAGAAAAGAAAATTTTATTCAAAATTCCTTCAAAATGGGCACGGGGTCCAAGATAATTAATTCTATTTATTACTTTCTTTTTTTAAAAAAAATTTTATTATATTTTGATTAATTTATCAATATAATATGTAAATAGTAAAGTTAAATTTAAAATTTAAAATAATTATTTAGAATTAATATTAGATTTTGTTGTTTAATAGAGACAATATAAATGTAAATATAATGATAATAACAATTACACACGTTTAATTTAATATTAATTACAACAAAATGATTTTTATTTAACACACAATACATTCATTACATTATTAATTTAAATACAACAATATTCTTTTTTAATTTTTTTTTGGTAAAAAAAAATCCACACATTCACTATATTTAATCATATCATATCATTTTTGTATATAAATAAATATTAATATATTACAGTAATTTTATGAATGCACCGATAACATTATTAATTTTATTTTAACTATATAAATTAATTAATAACCTTGTAAAATCCCAAGTCATGTGCCAAGAATTACAACTCGTTCGTTTTATTGGTTCAAATTATGGCAAATCTGGATCAAATTTTTTTTTCTAAAAAAAAAAATGAATACAGTCGAAGAAATCAAAAATCAACTTGAAATAGTGAAAAAATATGAAGAGGAAATGTCGTCGAAGGGAAAAGAGAAGAGATTAGGTGAGTTGAGGCAGATGTTGGAAGATGAGAAATGGAAGAGTTAGACGAGTTGAAAAAAGAAAAGGAGAGGTTGGAGCAATTGAAATATTTGCAACGTGCATTGGTTGAATTTGGCAAGGATAAAGGTAACAAACAAATGGTGTAAAAAAAAAAAGGATTATTTATTTATTCATTCATTTGAGATCAACTAGTGGTTGCCTCCGTTGATTATCCGGGTGTTTGAATCAATAAAGCTTAACACCCGGATAATCGGTCAGTCAACTCAACACCCCGGATAATCGGTCATTCACCGAATATCCACCAAATATCCACTGAATATCGTTGAATATGCATATTATTATTTTTTAAGAAATACTAATAACAGCGATCAATTTTATTCGTTTGGCTGTCATTGTGTGTTTCCAGCTTCACTAAATACAGTCAAACCTTGTCGCAGCGGATGAATGAAGATTTATTTAAAACCTGTTGTGGCAAGATTTACTGATCCTGCCACAATGGATTTTTATGTTATTGTATTTTAATGTGAATGTGAAGCAAAAATTTAAAAATCCGTTATAATTATAGTCCGCTGTGACAAGATCGCTCATTTGGAGTAGAAGTTACTGCAATGCATAAATATTCTTTAAATAATAATGACACAGTTAATATTCATATTACTTGATATATTATTATAATAGAAAGAATGTTAGTGGTGGATAAAATAGTATTAATATTAAAACGGCAGGTCTCCAAAAATATATTTTTTCTTATTAATAATAAATAAATTCGGCAGGTCTCCAAAAATATTATAATACTATTAATAATAAATAATAATAAAAATATGGGCAGGCCAAAAATAATTTTTTTGTTAGCATTGATGATGATGATGTTATGTTAATTAGTGAATAATATATTTTCGGTGACAAATTTTGGATGTGATAAATATTGATTGACAAAAAAATAAAACTACACGATTATTAACAAGTAAACCTTATTACACTAAATCAGGAAGATCCAAATCCTCCCTATAGCTAATTGTGGCTTCATAGAA